ACACTTTCCCTTAGAGATCTAATTCTGTACTTTCTCCAAGTCATATTTATATTCCTACTGATGATGGTCACATCACTGAAACTAAACTAAAAATGTTGAGTTTTTGAAATCATCTAGCATACCCAAATCAATGTTGAAGGGATGACTTCCCACTTTTTTCTCTGCAAATTCAGGCATATATCTCTTAATACTATCTTAGACCTGAGCTCTCTGGTGGAGGTAGGTGTTTCTGTTTTCTCTCTGAAAGGTTGCTTCCATTCTTTTGAATTTCAGTCTCTTTGCATTTCAGTCACCTCTTCTAACCTATTAATGACTAAATAATGACCCTCTTTTATAATCCTGGGTTTAATATCTGTTGGCTTTTAGTCTTTCTTATTTTTCATATTATCAATACCATTGTCCAAGAACATAAACTTCCTTTTAAAGAAATTCTTCTCTTCCTCCAGCTTATTCAACCTATTTCCTTATTTTTTTATCTTTCCACCTCTTTTCTGACTTCAAAATATATCTAAAACATGTATTTGAAACAAATATGGCTCCTACTTAATTTCCTGAATAGACCTGATTTCTTGAGATAAAAGAATCCAAGCATGATCTTTTTAATATTCTTCCTGCCTCCAGGATTACAACAGCACTGCTTCTCTTTTCTTCAAACCTCTATATAACAAACACCCCCATTCCTCTTTATATATTTAGTATAAAATTTATCATTCTGTGGTTAAACACACACAGAAGTTCAGCCAAGTCCCTGGAATTCCTCTATAAGGGCTTATGCCAGATGTACTCAACACATCTGGCACCAACTTGGAACATAAATAGAAGGTACTCTGGAATTAAGAAACTTGGCCCCTTCCATTGGTCTCTCCCTGGTCCTATAAAAGGATGCAATACAAATCAAAACAAAGAAGAACAAAATTGAGTGAAATTGATCTAATGCTACCTGATAATCCCCAGCATAATTTAACAGCTAGACTCTCCTAAACTTGTGTTTTTAAGTATATGTGGAACTTGTACCTTTGCACTTTACAGTCTTCACTTGTAATCACGACTAAGAATAAAGGCAACACAAATTACTCTATTCAACAGTGCCTCCCCTTTATGTATCAAATCCATCTCAGCTATGTCTATGTCAATCAAGGTCAGCCACAGTGACCTATATATCCCACTTTTGTGAAGCCCTATGCCCAGTGCCTCTAAAAAAACAGTAGCTACCATAAGTTGCTAGGACTTAAAGGTCACATAATTGACAGGCTCAAGATCACTAATGCCCTGGTACAATAGACATCCCATTTCCACACATCTTATTTTTGGTCCCTAATTCTAGTTGGAGTGTCTATTCCTCAAGATTTAACAGCCAATGTACACTTGCATATGTTCGGGCTTAAGGGAGAAAATTAATCATGTGCCTTTCTCCTCCAGGTTCTCTATCATATGCATAATCAATATAGGAATCAGATTAACGAAGATCAAAGTATCAGTACTTTGCTGATAAAGCTGTATTATTATCAAAATTGGCCTTTCTAATTCTTTGCCTCCCATAACCCTCCCAATTCCTGGTCTTGGGATGGTCCACCCAAAGGAAAATACACAAATGAAACACTTACCTGGATAGCAGCAAAGGGCATGGCAGCCTCCAAAGCAGAAAAGAGAAAGGTGTTCTTCAGACCTGCCTCTGGAAAACAGGCCTGGGCCTCAGTAGGTGTGCTTACCATATGAAAGTAGAATCTGAGTGGAATGCATACACAGTATAGGCAGGGAGGTATAAAAGAGGGAAGAGAACTTAAGAGTATGTGTGTACAATAACTCTCATCTCTATGTTTCTACCAGAGAACACATCTATTTTCCTTTGGAGAGAAGTGAGTAAGAAAGAGGCAGAGGCCAAAAGTGATATTCCAATATGGTTCCCTGCTTTGAGAAGAACAGGAAGAGAGAAACAAATGAAAGATTCTTGTCACCATGGGTGGGGGCTATGCTGTACTCTTCAGGAGAAGGGGATGAAACTCTCTCAGACCCAAAGTTTGATCTGTGATTCATTACCAGCCTCCAACCCAGATTTCAGGAAGAGGTCTATTAATAGATTCTGGAACTAGGCCATTTGTTCAGAATACAAGATGTCAGGGGTGGGACAAGGACCTAGAGATTCAGGCTGATCCCAACCAACCCTGAGACATATTCACTCACTGAGCTTCATTTGATTAATAAAAAGAAGTAAAAGAAACATTAATAAAAAAGGTAGAAGCCCCTTCCACTCATAACCACTCCTCAAGAACCATGTGGCTGCTGGAGTGAAAAGAGTAGTCATATCCAGACCAAGAAAAAACAGCCTAAAAATCTGGCCTCTACTTTCTGGCCAATCTGGTGTCATGGCTATTTCTCTCTCTCCTTTACCCTACAATCTGAGAGGAGCCAATTCTTTTTTTAATTATTTTTTCTTGAGAGGTTTTTGCTATAGGGCGCATGTGCCCGCCGGAAAGACAGAGAGAGCCAGAGAGAGAGAAGGTGAGAAGTCGCCCCTCAGGGAGGATGGCCATGCTTCAATCCCTTCTCCTCCATTCTCCTCTTGGGATCTTGGGCACGCACGCACACGCATCCAGCGTGAGTTTAAGCCACCGGGTCTGGGACTCGAACCACAGTTGACTATATGGGAGTCCAGCGACATAGCCATTATACTAACTGCTGGTCCCAAGAGAGGAGTCAATTTTATTAGAGAATTGTCATACTTAGGTTGTCAAAGACCATCCCCAGACAAAAGGCCCCATGGTAGAAGAACCCAAATAAGGACACTATTTGGGAATTTGAGAAACAAAAGTTATTTATCAGAGGGTGCTTGGGAAAGTCAAGCTATCTTAAGTCCAATTCCAGAATGGTTACTGGGAGTTCATTTTAATTAGCTTTTTTGGTCCACTTACCCAATGGCAGAGCTACTGAAGAGATCAAAGGAGAAATCATAGCTTTCAATGGGGCCTGTTAGTGCCCTATCTATCCAACCACAGCTGAGGAAACAAACAGAGCAAAGAGAGGACTCTTTTCATTACCAAAAATCACTTCCACAATTTTGGGCCTCCCCTTCCCATATGTAACTCAAGGACAGCTTCATGTTAGCCCTCATCAGGAAGCATAGAGCCTCTTTAAGGTCATGGGCCTTAAGTATTGTGTCCTTTCTGAGGACCTCTCCCTCATTTAGTGTAGGAGCACTTAGTAGATTCCAGTGCTATGTTTGTGTCACTCACTCTCTCAAGGATGCTGGAATGTCCTGGACCAGAAAAAGAAGTGACTTGGCACTGAGATTTAATCTAGCAGGTCCAAAGATAAACTCTCTCCCGGGTTGCTGAAGAGTCATTCTCACTTAAGTCTACATGGTGCAGAGGGAGGGAAGGAACTCAACCTGTTAAGAAAAGTGTTTTGGGGTTAAACATAACAGGCAAAGTGCTCAGTGGGGACCTGACATTTGAAGACACATAGAAGTGATAAGGAACAGGGGTGGAGAATATCCTGGTGGCAGAAAATAGAGTGGTGGACTTTAATTAACATGGGAGTTGGGGGAGGAGGTGGCAACAAAGAGAAAAAGAGTTCCTTAGCAGTCTAGACACCTAAATTCTAGCCATGGCTCTTGCCAGCAACTCAGAAATTATCTAGGTTTCAGTATCTTTATCTGCAAAATAGAAGAAAGTAGGTCATTTAATTAGATGCCTGTGATGGTCCTGTGAGATTATGGTATCCTCCACAAGTGTGATTGACAGTCTATTAGAAGATATTCAGGACCGGCCATGTGGCCTAGTGGTTAAGAGAGCTGGATCCCAGTGGTCAACCATATAGTTTGAATCCCAGCTGTGGCAGCTTAAAAAACACACGTGTGTGTGTGTGTGTGTGTGTGTGTGTGTGCGTGCACATGTGTGCCCCAAATCCTAACAGGATGAAGAGACAGAGGAAAAGGGACTGTGGTGTGACCACACCCCATTTGAAGGGTACTTTATCCTTCTCCCTCTCTGTGTGTTTCTGGCAAGTACACATGCCCTCTGGCAAATTAAAAAAAAAAAATCAGGCAAGGGCCAGAAGGGACCTTATCAAAGTAAGAAATGACTTTCAGCCTCATCTCTAATAAAAGAGTCACATGTATACACATTCACACATACACAAGCAGAGTGAGTGATGATTTCACCCACAGCAACAGAGACGCATCTAGAAAAAAATAAATACTCTTAATGCCCAATTTCTTCACAGAAGAAGGGCCCTGAGAATGTAACTTGGAGGAACCAACAGTAAGAGGAAACAAGTGCTCCTATTTGATAACAGATATCATCTTCTTGCTCCTTTCCCAAATTCAAGGCAGCCAGCTCTTAGGAAGAAAATAGTGTCTCATCTTCCCTCTCCACCCCACCAACTAACCTGTGCCAGAAACAAATTGCATTGCCCCCAAGAGAGATAAACCTCTAGTTAACCACTAAGAAATGAACAGAAAATTACTACCTCTGAGATCACCTGGAAAGAGGGAGTATCTGGAACCACATGCCCCTAATTTCCTGAATGTTATCAATGGTCCCAAAAGGTCTTGTTTTAGACCTGTTCCACCCCAAAGTCACTTGGGTCTGCCCTCTGGATGAAGGAGGGACTAGTCTGGACTGCCTCCTGTACCCTCCCTCCCCCCATTGCTTTATGATTGTTTCTGAACTGTTCAATAAATCTTATCATGAGAGGGAGCATCTCCAAGTAGGAATCCAAATGAAGAAGCAGTCTATGAAGCAAGTGCAGGGTTCCAAATCATGCAATAGGACCTGCAAACAGATTCGCGCCACTCCGGACACCAAGAAGCATCTCCCAGCCATACATACACATGGACACTTACATAACCTCTCCTAGCACAGGTAGCTGGGGCAATTGGGGAAGTAGAGGACATCAGCCTCCCATCAACCTGGAATCCCTGTTTAAAAGATACTAAAAATAAATTAGTAAACATTGCTGTTTACAGAAATAGAAATAATTTCTGTTTCCAAAGGCCTCTCATCATCCCAGTTCTGGACATTTCCAGGACTGCCACCCCTGACACCCTCTCCAAGGTCCGCCCTGGTTGGGTGGGTGACCAGAGTCTTTTGAGACTGGGAGCTCCTCAGGCATCTGAGAATTCCAGTTTCACATCTCTGGTTCCAGGAAGGGGAGAATCTTCAGTACTCTGCAGAGTACCAGAGTTCATCCCTTCTCACCAGTTCCTGGAGACTGTCTTGAGGCAATTTCCCTTTTAGGGTGATATATGTGTTGCAAGAATACTTGCTATTTTCTGGCCCCCAGTCCCTCCCCAGAGTCCAACACGACTGCCTGGATCCACCCTCAAAGCGAAGGACCCAGTCTGTGCCTTGGTTTAAATGACTCTGGGAGAGGGAAGGGCAGAGTGAGGGCAGGGACAACCAATTGGGGAACCGTCCTTGAGGGGACGATCAACAGCAATAACTGTCCTACAGGCAGGTGGTGAGGCTGGGAGCCTGGCCAGGACCAGAACCGGAGCCGGAGCTTTCCACCAGGCTGGCGGACTGCGGGTCGACTCGCGGAGTGCGACGACGCCCCCGATACTCGATCATGTCGGGGTGATAGGTTGGGTGGCGGCGGGCGTGCTTGGTCAGGTGGTCGCTCCGGGAGAACTGCTTGGGGCAGAGGGGACAGGAGAAACGCTTCTCGCCCGTGTGCGTCCTGTAGTGGCGGGCCAGCTCGTCGGAACGCGTGAACTTCTTGTCGCAGTCGAGCCAGTCGCAGGAGAACGGGCGCTCACCCGTGTGGGTACGCTGGTGGGACTTGAGGTGCGACGACTTATAATAGGCTTTGGTGCAGCCAGGAAAGGGGCATTGGTGGCGCTTGGCTGCAGGTGTGACAGACCTCCGCCGGGGCACCTGACCCGCGGCGGGGGCGTGGCCCGCCCCTGGAGCACCGCCAGAGACCCCTCCGG